ATAGATAGATAGATAGATAGATAGATAGATAGATAGATAGATAGATAGATAGATAGATAGATAGATAGATATAGATAGATACAGATGATAGACAAAGATGATACAGACATGATTAGATATAGACAGACAGATGATAAGACAGACAGACAGACATAGACAGATGATAGACAAGACAGACATAGTAGATAAGATGATAGACAGACATGATATACAGACAGACAGATGGTAGACAGATAGACATAGTAGATGATAGACAGACATGACAGACAGATAAGACAGAGACAGACATGATAGAATATAGACAGATGATAGACAGATAAACATAGTAGAGGATAGATAGATATGATACACAGACAGACAGATGGTAGACAGATAGACATAGTAGATGATACAGACATGATTAGATAGACAGACAGACAGACCGATATCCCACCTTTAATGTTTTTATAAAGAACTCAAGGTGGCAAAGATATCCATGTGTACCTTCCTCCTCCTATTGTCCCCATAGCTACCCTTGGGGAGGGGGGACTGGGAGAGATGGACTGGCCCAAAGTCACCCAGCTGGCTTTCATGGTTAAGGCAGGACTTGAACACAACACCATCTCCCGTTTTCTAGCTTAGTGCTAGAAAGGCTACCGTGAACCATGTATGGCTTCTTAAATCAACTGGACACCTGAGGTGGTGGCCTGGCTCTATGTTGTCAGGCGCAAAGGAACAAGGCCACATGTTAAGATTTATCGCTCAAAAATCTAAATCAACTAAACTTCACTGCTACATTGGCACCAGATAACAGAATTCAAAAGAGGGGTTGGATTTGGACCCTTTGTGTGAACGTAAGGATGCTAGGCTGATGACTCGCTTAACACCGCCCCCCTCTGCTTTGCCTGCTCTTCTCCTGCAATGGTGAATTATTTCCCTTTCCTTGTACAGAAAATCAACAGCACAAAGGTGGAATGGATCTCGTAGGTTGAATAGGTTACTCTCCATGGAGAAAAAAACCCATTTGAATTCTTCGGGAATCACCCCTGAACAGAATCCTTGGAGAGTCCAAAAGGTGCTTTTTTTCAGGAAGCAACTGGACTTTCTGGTTTGTTTTTCTCCTTTTGAAGACGTTTCGCTTCTCATCCAAGAAGCTTCTTCAGCTCTGGATGGTCAGGAAGGGATGGATTTATTCTCCTTGGAGACAGCTGGTCATTTGCATCCTTTTAGAGGGCCGTTGAGGCCAATTGGAGGTTTATCTGTGTCCTCAGGGTCCCCTGAGTAGGGCAAATGGTTCTTGTAGTCTGCATTTTTCCTCTGGAAGTCCATTCCTGCTCCCATACCATCCAAAGGGTGTTCATCCCAAATCGTATAGCTAAAATTCTACAGAGATTCTTAGTCCTCCAGGTCATCATTGTCCCAAAGGTGCTTTTTCTGGAGAACTTTCTTGTTTTTTGTTTTGAAGTCATTTCGCTTCTCATCTAAGAAGCTTCTTCAGCTCTGACAGGATAGTGGGGAATGGAAAGATTTATATTCGTTGCAAACTGCTGGTCATTTGCATCCTTTTAGAGGGTCATTGAAGCCACTTGGAGGTTTATCTGTGTCCTCAGGGTCACCTGAATAGTTTTCCAGTTCCTGTAGTCTGCAATTTTTCCTCTGGAAATCCATTCCTACTCCCACACCATTCAAAGGGTGTTCACATCTCAAATTGTATAGCTAAAAGCCTGTAGAGATTCTCAGTCCTCCAGGTCACGGTTGTCCCAAAAGTGCTTTTTCAGGAGGAAACTGGACTTTCTGGTTTTTCTTTGAATCTTTGGGAGCTTTCATTAACTTCCAGATCTCCGAGTGGATGCACCACATGAGTCAGTCAATACGTGGTTGAACATTGGAAGTGTAAATTGTAAAGAAGGAACTTTGTACCATTTATGGTGGACATGTGATTATAAGCAAAGAAATACTGGAGTAGTCTTAATACCGGAGATTCTTAAAGTGAATATAAAGAAAAATAACTAGAGACTTTTCTTTTAGGCTTAATGGACAAAGAGCTTAGGGGGAGAAAAATTGGAACTTTGATGTTAAATATGTTGACAGTAGCAAGATTACTTTAGGCACAAAAATGGAAGGATGCTTTGATACTCATAATGGACAAATGATTGGAGTTAGCAGAGATGGCCAAATTGACTGCTTTGATTAAAGAAAAAAAAATACAATTTATTTTTGTTTCTACTTTTGGGGAATTTTGTGCTCGAGGTGGGGGAAAAAAATGAAACTTTGGTTTTTGCTGATTTAGATAGAGGTCTGCTGTTACAGCAATTCCCAGTATATATTATTATGTAAAAGTAAAAAAGTGGAGGTTTTGCATAACAGATGTCCAAATGGAGTCGTAGACGCCGATGCAAACTTGCAGTTTTATAGAAATAAATATATTTTACATTTATATATATAAGCACATAATCAGGCAAGGAGGAACTGCATGAGGTAAATCAACACCGAAGGAACATCATGAGGTAAATTTATGGGGCACGGCGAAGAAAAGGCGGGAAAAAAGGGAAACGCCCCCTTCATACCCACGGCAACCAATCACAGCACAGATTGCCTCACACCGAATCTCACCAACCAATCAACTCTAGCTATGTGCTCTGGCTCACTGCACAACCCCTCCACCTGCTCCAGCTGTTAAATTTAAATATCCAGCTGTTAAATTTAAATATCCAGCTGTTAAATTTAAATATTTTCCCATTGTTTTCATTATTTTTTCTTTGTATTTTGATAAACTAATAAAAAATATGAAACAATATGTGGTCGAAGGTGGCGTTCAATAATCTGCACTTAAAACTGGTGCGTGTGTGTGTATTGTGTGTGAACAGAATGAAAAAGAGGCCTACCTACCATGGGGGCTCCGCGGTGGCCAAGGATGGCAGGTCTGGGCCCCAGGTCCTTCCTTTCCATGATGCACGGGGAGGAGAAGGTGAGGGGCACCAGGTACAGTCCAAGGACAACTGCAAAATAGGTCCCAAGCATCATCAGCTGGGAAGCTGGAGGGAAGAAACATGGGAGACCTCAACTGATTTGGAATAGAGTTGGAAAGGACCTTGAGAGGTCTTCTAGTCCAACCCCCTGCTCAAGCCAGACATTCCAAGAAAAGAAAACTCACTTGATTTCAAATGAACTAATGGACGCCTAATAAAATTGCACCCTAAATCCTCTCTCCGTCTCGGCTATCTATGAGAGGATGTAGTCCATACAGATTCACAGAGTTGGAAGGGACCTTGGAGGTCTTCTAGTCCAACCCCTTGCACAAGCAGGATATCGTATTCCATTTCAGACAAAGGATTGTCCAGTCTCTTCTTAAAAACCTCCAGTGAGATGGAGCATCCACAGCTCCTGAATCCAAGCCATTCCACTGATTGTTTTCACTCTCAGGAAATTCCTCCTTAGTTCTAGGTTGCTTGTCTCTTTGATTAGTATCCACCCATTGTTTCTTATCCTGCCTTCAGATGCTTTGGAAAATAAACTGACCCCTTCAAATATTGGAACCCTGCTATGATGTCCCCCACAATTCTTCTTTTCTCTAAACTAACCAAAACCAAATCCTTCAACCGTTCTTCGTATGTTTTAGCCTCCAAGCTTTAATCAAATAGTTTCTCTTCTCTGAACTTTTTCCAAAGTCTTAACTTAACAAAGGGAAGTACTAATATCTACTCTATAAAGCCTTAGTAAGACCACACCTAGATAGAGTACTGCATTGTTTTTTCACCATATAAAAAAGATGTTGAGACTCTAGAAAAAGTGCAGAGAAGAGCAACCAGGATGATTAGGGGACCGGAGGCTAAAACATACAACGAACGGTTGCAGGAACTGGGCTTGGCTAGTCTAGTAAAGAGAAGGACCAGGGGAGACATGATAGCGGTCTTCCAATATTTGAGGCGCTGCCACAGGGAGGAGGAAGGGGTCAAGCTATTTTCTAAAGCGAGACAAGGAATAATGGATGGAAACTGAACAAGGAGAGATTTAACCTGGAAATAAGAAGAAACTTTCTGACAGGGAGAACAATCAACCCATGGAACAGAAGTTGCCCTCGGAAGTTGTGGGAGAGCCATCAGTTGAGACTTTCAAGAAGAGATTGGACTGCCAT